GTGAACGTAGGTGGACAAATTAAACAATAATGTGCTAAGCTTGTGGTGAGGTCCTGAGAAGAGGGTCCTACAGCCCAGCCCCCCAGGGGCACTTGGGCCCATCTGCAGATGGGTGCCCCTGAGCATGGGTGTCTCTTGGAGGAACAGCTCAAGGGAGGAGCCCCAGGAAAAACAGCGGGGAGCGGCTTCTGCACATGCACAGGACATAGGTGGCTGAGGAGGGGGCCCTTCCCAACTGCATGCTCAGTGACCGCCGAAAGCCGAGATTCCCCGGGCCCTGGGAGGAGTCTGGGCAGCACACACGAGCCCTGCGTCCACGGCGGAAAGCACCGGAAGCTGTTGTGCAAGCCCAGGCCAATCCTGAATTGTGTGCATGCATCTCATGTGCCAGAGATAGGACACCTCAAATGTGCATGCTCACTCACATGGGCAGCAGGTACACACACACACACACACACACACACACACACACACACACACACTCTCTGCTCCAGCCTCTTCCTCAGGTAACCTGGCACATCACTGAGCCCCGAGCTGCTGTGTCTCAGAGGAACATCCACGGTGTCCACAGAAACTCTGGAGCTGGGACACTGGCTGGCAGACACTGTGGAGAACATGTGCCAACAGGGGAGAGTCAACAGTCGCCTTTCCGGGTACTGAGGAGTCACTCATTACCCTGGAACAGCTAGTCCCAGGTCTGCAGAACTCGCCCCGGTTTTAAAGCAGCTGATCAGAGAGATAGAACAATGCCCTGACACAGGACACACTTGGTCTGAGAAACAACTCCAGGTGCAGGCGGGAGGCTCCGGGCCCCAGGGCACATCCCACATGGGCCGCGGTCAGCAATGGGGCCACGTTTCTGGTGACTGAAGGACAAGTGTTGGACTGCCATGGGGCTAACACCTGCCCGTTGCTTTAACTCAACAGGTCATGTCATCCTAAATTTTAAAGTTTACTTTAAATTCCCCCAAAAGGGGCCTTAGACAGTCCCCCTAAAGCACACGGTAATTCTCCGGGAGGGCACCTGATGAATCTTCTATAAAACATTACTCAGGATTCCCCCTTTGCAAAGAAAAACCTTGGGTCCCAGGGTCTCGGGCGCCCTGTGGTTCAAGCCAGCTGTAGGCGTGTGATGTCTGAGCGCCTGGCGCCGGCGACTGCGCCTGGATAAAGGGGAGCCTGTGGGCACATGGTACTGACCACTCGCTCAGTTTTGCAAACCTGACAGGTCACTCTGTTTTTTGCAGGAATTTTCCACACTGTGGTCCTAAATTCCTCCAAATTTCTCCAGAGAGGTTACACAAAACCAGTGTTTTTCTCCAATAACATCACACTAGGTGGCAGGGTTAGGTTTAGGTAACACAGAATATTTGAGGTGTGGTGTGAGGTGATCAGGGACAACTGAGCCAAATGTGATGAGTGGGAACAAACGAGCCGTCCACCCGACATGCTGGTGGGGGGCTGTGGCCGCAGTGCCCAGGCCCGGGGGGGCTTTGCCCATTTCGGGGTAGGCCCTGGTGGGCGTGGCTGCAGACCCCCCGAGGGGCACTTACACTCTCCTTTCTGTACACGGTGCGGATGCAGCTGAGGGTGTTCCCGTAGCCCACGCCGGCCTGCAGGCGCGTCTGTGGAGAGAGGAAGGGCATGAGGCCCAGGGAGAGATGATTCACACCCACTGCCCCCAGCACGCCCAGAGGAGGGAAGGAAGGTCCTGCCCAAAGTGACCCGGGCAGGAGGGAGGTCTGGGTTTCAGTCCTGGGCAGAATGGCCCTCTGTCCGCCCGCACTGCCTCCCTCAGCGTCCCATTCAGACCTTAGCAAATGCAGCAGGAGCCCTCCTGGTCCAAGAAAAGAACAAAGGTCAGCTTGTTGAGCAAAAATGACACTTGTTTGGGGACATCTGATCCCTACCTCTTGAGTACAAAAAGCTAACCAGTTGCGTGGTTCTGTCTCATCTTCTGTCACTCTGCCCTCCCAAATATTCCCGGGAGAGACCTGCTCATCTCGCCTCCACAACCCCTTCATCTCTCACCTGAGTGATGGCCTCCTGCTCCCCCCTCACTCCTTGACACACTCAGACTGCTCTCTGACAGTCTGATGAATTGTGTCACTGCCCTTTAAGGCTGTCCAGTGGCCTCCTATCAACTTCAAATAAACTCTAAACTCTTTACCCATCCCCACCCCACCTGAACCCAGGGTCCATGAGGTGCCATGGCCCAGGGTGCAGAATAACACTTCACACTAACAGCCTGAGCTCAATCTGTAGACAAGCGAAGGAGACCCTGGAAGAACGTAAGTCAGAAAAGTGAGGGTCTCTGAGATGAAAATCATGGGTCATGTTTTGCTGCATTAAACTTTTCTTCATTTTCCAACTTTCCTATAATAAGCAGGGCTACTTTGATTGTTTTTAGCTTATATAATTAAAAAATAATTTTACTTACAAAATATAGGAATACATTCTCTTAATAAAAAAATTTTCAGCATTACATATAAAGCTAACGTCTCTTTTGGCCCATCCTCTCTCCACTCCCACCCCTCCCCTGTGTGGATAACCATGGCTAATAGTATGGCTAAGAGTTTGAGAGGCAGTCATCTAAATAGTTTTATCCAGATAAGATAACCAGAGGAAACATGTAGTGCTCCTATAGGTATGATACCTGAATGCTATCACACTGGTCATAAATATTACTTTCACAATCAGACAAATGTATTTATTGACTCACTCAGCCCATATTTATTGAGTGCCTATTTTAAAGCCATAACTGTTCCAATCTCAGGGAGTTTAGCAGTGGAGAAAACAAAGTCCCTGCCCTCATGGAACTTAAACCGAGTGGGGTTGGAAAAGATAGTCAATAAAAAGTAAATCCCAAGTAAATATATATGTCAGATAACAAGTGCCATGGGGGAAAATAAACAAGGGTCAGAAGGGCTGGGTGGTGGGGAAGAGGCTCTGGAAGATTCAGCAAGGTGAGAACTGGGCTTCACGTCTTCCGGTTAAGCAGAACCACAGAGGTCCACCTTGGGCTGGGGTATCCCCAACCAAGACATAGGTGTGGGCCAGGATAGGGGGCAAGGGAGCAGGCCCCTCTGCCCCATTTAAGGCTGGCCTGAGGCTGACCGTGCTTCTTGCTGGCCCTGGGTACTGAATCCACAAAATGGCTGAGCACCAGGAGGGATCAGCTTCCCACTAAGGAGGTTGAATGCTCAAGTCACACAGCAAATGGCACTTGAGGGCACGTAGCCCAAGAGCTAAACCCGGATCACAGCCATAGAGCAAAGTCTGCCGGCCGTGCGACCAGCTCTTGGGAGGCTGCCACTGAGGCCAGCAGTACAGCTCAAACCTCCAGGGTCTCCAGTTACAACAGGGGCTGGCATTTAATGTACATCAACTGCATACTTGGGGACACACTGGGTATCTTGTAGAACTTATCATACTGAATCACACAAATGCTATGCAGCATGGATACTATCCCCATTTTACAAATGAAGAAAGCTGACTCCCTGTATTAGTTACCTGTTGCTGCTGTAACAAATGACTTAGTGTCTTAAAACAATACAAATTTATTCTCTTATACTTCCATAGCTGGACTAAAGGTAGCCAAGCCCTGATTAGAAACCCTGGTCACACTTCATCAGCATAAACCCTCAATGCACCTTCATTGCCAGGAGCCAGGTAAGAATCCTGACCCCAGTCCCAGTCGTGGCTGGCTCTCCCACCTGTGACAAGGCAGCCACAGGCAGGGAAGGAAACTTTGACCTAACTCAGCAACCTGGGCAGCTCTTCTAGCTCAGCTCTCCCATGGGCCAGCCCTGGGGCCCCAGACACATCCCCGCATCTGTGTTCATCAGGACAAGGGTGGCCGCCTCATTGCTCTATCCTCAGTGTCACAGTGATCTTCATGACAGCCCCGCCGGGGAGGTGCTCTTTGCCCATTTTACAGAGGAGGACATCAAGGCTCAGGGTGGTTAAGTGCTGTGCCCTGGTCCCAGGCGTTATTCTGACTCTTAAGTGCTTGCCTGGACCTTTCTCATTGGACAGGGACTCTAGAGAAAATGTGAGCCAGAAGGAAGGAAGGAGGATGTCCTAGGGAGACACAAGGGCCCTGGGCCATACCCCTGGGCTGGACCCAGAGGCTGGCAGTGTAAGCTGGCCTCACCAGGCTGTACCCTCAGCGGGGAAGTTCTTAGTCTGAGCAGAGACTGGATTTTATGTATCAGAAAGGGTTCCCTCCAGAGGCTCAGGGGACAGAGTGGAGAAGGAGAGTTCCAGCCTTTTCAGGTGACATGTGGCCAGGCCCAGGATGGCCAGACTTGCCTGTGCAAGGGGGTGGTGGTGGCTCTAACAGGTCTACCTGCCCCTGGCCAAGCTGGGGTGAGGGAAGGACATTCCCCCAGGGAGACATAGCTCAGCTGTCTTCAGAATATGACTGTACAACCCACAGGACAGGGACTGCACTTGCTCAGCCCACCACCGATGCCTTGTCATCCCCACGGTGCCTACACAAAGTGTCCAATATGCGGTTGATGTCCGAGCAAAAGGCAGGGGCCATATGAGGGACATAAGGAGCCAGGAAATATCTTCAACTATTTAAGACAAGTAGGCTGACCTTCCCATCCGAGGGAGCAGGCCTGGGCTGACCTAGGACGGGCCCGGTGTCGCGCAGGGAGGGTGGGGAGAAAGGAGACAGCAGCAGCCCTGCGAGAGGGGCCTGCGAGGCTCCTCCTTGTGTGTGATCCGAGCAGAGCTTTATATTTGGATCTGAATGTCACTATTTGTTGCCATGCTCTCAGGATATGGCTCTGAGTCCTGCTCACCACTGGGGAGAGGTGGCAGGGGTGGGAGTGGAGTCAAAGAATGCTCCCTTGTAGTATCTTACTCCCCGGTGCTTTAACTTGCTGTGTGACCTGCGGCCAGCACCTCCCCTTTCTGAGCCAGCTTCTATATCTGTAGGGGCTTGAGTGACCCCGTGCCAGATGGCCCTGCTGGCTCCAGAGTCCTCACGTCACATGAGCTTCCTCAGCTTATACTGGCTTCCCCTTCCCGACCCAGGTCCAGAGTCCTACCGACACCCATGACCACCAAGGATTGAGTGCTGACCCCCCTTTCCTGGATTTAGATCTGTCAGCTGCGGTCAGAAACCTGGTGCATCAGCAAACTGGCCATGCCGGTCTTTCCCAAGTAGAGCCCACGAGGTGTCCCCATCTCAGCTCCATTTTATAATCACCTCAAACCCAGTCCTAGATTTTGGGCTCAGGTGCTAAATCACACTTAAAGCCTTTCCTAGTTCCTTAGTTCACAGGGAGACACTCACCAGTGCCTTCCCATCCCCCGCAGTTCAGGAGGACTGGAAGCAGAAATGAGACATTCACAAAAACAAAATCACTGCCAAGTAATGAGGGTAGAGCCATTCCAAAGCAGAGCCTCCTGGGGCCACACCCCCATGGGCTGGAGGCTCTGAGGATCAGACACGGCAGGCACTGTGCGGCGGGCAGACGCACTCCAGGCCCCTTCCCAAGAGGTAATGACGAACAAGGCCGTACCTTGACCGTGTCCAGGGGGTAGCCGATAATGACACTGGCTGCACCTGTGGATTGGAAGAGAACACCTGGTCACTCAGCCCTGGACTCCTGGCTTGCACTTGCTGGCTCTTGGGACAGGACAGAGGGCTCAAGAACTTACAGTCACTTATTCAGTCAATGCCCTGTCACCAGAGAGACCCTGCAATGTGTTAGACACTGGCTGAGGTATACAGGAAGGCAGAGAAAATGAAGTAAAACCCAGTTCTGCCTTAAGAAACAAGCACCCCACTCCCACCCCAAAGGGCGGTGAAGGTGCAGGGACAACTGGGTATTTACATGCAAAGGAATGAAGTTAGACCCCCTACCTCATACCATATAAAAATTAACTCAAAAGAGAACAAAGACCTAAATGGAAACCCTAAAACTATAAAAACTATATACTAAAACACAGGGGAAAATCTTCATGACCTTAGATTTGCAATAGATTCTTAGATATGACACCAAAAGCACAAGTAACAAATGAAAAAATAGATAAACTGAGCATCATAAAGAGTTAAAACTTTTGTGCACCAAAGGATGCTATCAAGAAAGTTAAGTCAACCTACAGAATGGGGGGAAATATTTATAAGTCATATATTTGATAAGAATTTGGTATCCAGAATATATAAAGAATGCTTACACCTAAAAAAAAACAGGCAAAGGACTTGATATGCAAATGAGCAACAAGCACAGGCAAAGATGCTCAACATCATTAGTCATTTGGGAAATGCAAATCAAAACCATAGTGAGAGTCCCCTTCACACCTATGAGGACAGCTATCATTTAAACCAAAAAACAGGAAATAAGTGTTGTCAAGGATGTGGAGAAATTAGAGCCCTCATACATTGCTGGTGGAAATATAAAATGGTGTAGCCACTGTGGAGAAGTTCAGCAGCTCCTCAAAAAGTTAAGCATTGAATTACCATATGACCCAGCAATTCCATTCCCAGGTAAATTTCCAAAAGACATGGAAACAGGCACTCAAACAAGTACATGTGCACACATGCTCACAGGCAGCACTGCCCACAAGGGCCAGAAGGTGGACACGCCCCAGCTGTCCACCGCTGGATGAATGGATAGACAGGATGTGATCTGTCCATACAGGGGAAAGTTATTAGACATAACTAGGAATGAAGTGCTCATACAGGTCACAGCGTGGTTGAGTGTTGAGAACATTATGTAAACGAAAGAGGCCAGACGAAAAAGGTCACATGTATGATTCCATTTATATGAACTATCCAGAATAGGTAAGTCCACAGGGACAGAAAGCAGATCAGCAATTGCCGGGGGCTTGGGGGAGGGGAAATGGGAGTGACTGCCTGGGCCCAGGGACTCCTTTGGGCATGAGGAAAATGTTCTGGAACTAGATAGAAGTGATGGTTACAGAACACTGTGAATGTACTAAATGTCACTCAATGGTTAATTTTATGTTATGTAAATTTCATCTCCAAAAAAGGAGAAGAGTGTGAGGAGAAAACCCAGAAACTTCTCAGTTACCTGCAGGTTACCCAACTGTAGTGTGTGTGTGTGTGTGTGTGTGTGTGTGTGTGTGAATAATATTAGCACCTACTTCACGGTTCCATTGTAAGAGCAAAATGAGGTCATGAATGTAAGTACCAGCAGAGAGCCTGGCACTTATAGGACATTCAAAAAGAGATGCAATTGCTATTGATTTTTTTTTTTAATTTTTAAAGATAGACTCTTTTAAAAGGTGATGGATACTCTGGGTCTTTTCACAGAAAAATGCCTACCTACACACACTCACAAGACCTGAACCACTTTGGAGGAAAGAGGCCACCCTGAGGCCACAAAGATTAAGAAGCCCTTATTGGAGAAGTCAGTGACTGTGAGATGGAAACAGGAGCCCCTTTTCTAAGACAAATTCTCCAGCTGGTGATGAGAAAGAAAGTGTCTCTGCTCACCAGGTAAGGCAGGTAAGGGGTGCTGAAATACGAGGTATTTACAGGGGAAGAGAAACCAGCTCTTGGTCTAGAACCTCCAGACCCCTCTCAGCCTTTGCTTCCCACAGAACTGGGCAGAAGCAGAAGGTGATGGGCAGCGGGGAGTTGGAGTATTCACGCCACATGGACCCCTCCCAGCAGGGGAATGAGGGAGCCTGGTCCTCAGGCTCGGGAGGCTTCCCCCCAGTGAGTGCATCCTTCACGATGGGCATCCCTCAGCCCAGGGCCACGCCCCAGACCCAGCCTTGGGCCAGCATCTCCCTGCTCATTTAGCCCACCCATCTGAAAGTAGAGGATGCAATATAAGAAATCAGACTATCAGACCTTGGGACTTCACAAACCAGTAGAATTTCAAACAAAATGTGAAGGATTTAATGGTGACATTTTATCATGCAAAGTCATTAAGAAAGAAAACTATAGTAAGTACACGGGTTAAAATGGCCCTGGTACCAGACTGCCTGGGTTGGAATCCCAGTGCTCACACTATACGCATGGCCTTGGGCAAGTTGTTGAATTTCTCTGTGTATCCATTTCCTCATCTGTAAAATGGGGCTGTAAGAATAGTAGCTACCTCATTGGGATTACAAAAAAATATACATAAATGGACACAAGAGACCACATATTTTATGGTTCCATTTATATAAAATGTCCAGAAAAGGCCAATTTATAGAGCCAGAAAGTAGATTAGTGGTTGCCCGAAGGATAAAGGAGAGGATTGAGTTTAACTGTAAATGGGCATAAGGATCTTACTGGGGGTAAATATGTTCCCAAACTAATTTATGATAATGGTTTCACAACTTGGTAAAGTTACTAAAAATCACTGAATTGTACACTTGAAATGGGTGAATTTTATGATATGTAAAATAACTTTAATAGAGTTGTTTTTTAAATCTACACAGAGCACTTAGGACCTGATACCTACTAAGTATTCACCTTACTACACTCATCACCATTGCATGGAAGCAAAAAAGAAAAAAAAAAAGACAAGTTAACATCAACAAAGTACAGACATTTGCAGAATAAAAGGCAATGCGCTACTTGCTGTGTGCACTGGGGAGGGTCTCCGTGTCATCAAAGACACTGAGCTCCTCTGACAGCTTTAAGCTTCAGGGCATTTCTAAACCAGGACACTAACAGCCCCACTGAAGTTGGTCTGGCTACTTAAGGAAACAGCGGAGGGAAAGCTTTCCCTTGGTATGACTGAAGGGTTGTCCAAAGAGGGCCTGGATGTGCACAGTGGGCCTCCTGGTAGAGGCCCCTGAATGGGAAAATTAGGAGAGGCAGGTCTCAGCCCAACCGGAGAGAGCCTGTGTCAGCAGAATTGCCCATGTGACAGAGCCACCTCTGCTCAGGACCATGAGAAACATGCCCTGCAGCCATCTGTGGGGGACAGAAGCAGAAGGACCTGGGATGCTATCTGGCCTGTTGCTCTCTTTCTCTCTCTTTTTCCCTTTTCCTGCAAATTTCCTGGTCTCCTCCATACCTACAACGCTCGATGGGGCACAAACCTGCCACAGCCTCTGCCTCAGCACCTCAGTATTTTATTTTGTCTTTGGGGAGGGGCTGCATTTGACAATATCCCTTTGCTGATGGTCATCATAGGGCCAAAAGGAAGATAATATTTTACAATAAGTAAAGGCCCTCCAGCCCCCCCATGCTCCCGCTCCCCTCTGAGCAGTAGAGGAACAGACCTATCAGGAGAAGAAAGGAGGAAATGGGTGAAACTCTGGAGCAAGCAAACCCATCTCAGGCCCAGCAGAGAGTGGCCCCTGGAGCGGCGCGAAGGGACCCTAGTGCCAGGAGGGTCCTGACAGTTGGCAGCTGCTGAAGGCGGGAAGGGCTCCTCCTCTCCGCTCCCCGCAGCCCGGGCGCCCCTAGGACCAGCCTGAGCACAAAATCGCGCTTCCCGCCCCGCGCCGGGGGCAGCGGCGAAGCGCCACCCTGCCCGCAAGTTCCTGCTAGCCACGTCCCCAAACGCAGGTGCGCACCCGGTCACCGAAGGGTGTGCACGCGCCGGGACGCTCCATTGGCGCTGGGCTCGAACCAGCGGCTTAATCATTACCCGACCGAGCCCCGCGGATCCTAACGCGGAGGCAACTGGAAGCTCAGGTGAACCTCCGTGAGGTCCGCGGAGTTCAGGCGGG